ACAATATGTCACCTTATTAAAAATCTTACTAGCAAAAATCAATGAAATTAAATCTTTTTTAAGGAAAATAGTACATCGCGTATTTACTCTCCCTTATGATAACATAACATAAGATTTTAGTTTGAATCTTCACAATTCAATCTTGAATACAATTTTCAAATGTTGAAGTAGACAATCCACTAGTGAAAGATCTTCCAAATTACCATTTGAAAGGTTTTACTAAATATTTATATTACTATTCTTTTAAAAATCATTATAGAGGAAAATTTATAGAAATATATTTCGTTTTGACTCATTTGATGTATACTCCTTTCAATTGAGCTATACATTATATACTATATTCATACAAGATAATATCTTATTATGTAGGAGCAAATCACATATTTTCTGGATATATTAAGTCAATAGTCTTAGACATACACTTTTTCAACTTGTTTCGTGCATAAGAATTATTTCTACATAATTTGAAAATGCATCAAATAATGTTTGAAGATCTAAAGATAATGATATTTAGCACTTTATTCATATTGGATATCTTTAAGATCCTTTCAATAAAAGTCAATTTATATAAAAAAAAATCACATTTACATGCTTGATCTATAAGTTAGAAAAAAATAATTTCACCATTATTTATCTCTAATTATCTCGTTAAATAATCAAATAATTTTAAAACTCTTGGGGAATTACAATTTGTAATTAATGGATATATGTTACAAGGATGATAATGTGTATGCATTGGTGGAACATGGATGAATTTGATATGTTTCATAAATTGGAATGGCAATACATCATACATATGTTGCATATAGTCTAGGTCAAGTTTGATGCACATTGAAGTATATATGAACTATGATTTTGATCATTTGGTGCATATGATATCAGTATCAAAATGGGAGGTATCGATACTATAGGTTCAATGCGAAATTTCGAATGACTATTTGGTATCAAAGTGGCATTGAGTATCGTTACTACACATGTGGAATTGATACACATTAGAGGGATCCAAATCCAATAACCATAAAAGAGTGTTGATACCATGGATAGGTATTGATATTGTACTTGTATGGTATTAGTATTGGATCAATGTATCGATACCAAATTGAACTTTGAAGTTCGAAAAAATAATTTGGTATTGACACCGTGTATTTAGTATCAATATTGTTCTAAGGAAATATCGATGTCGTATACTCGTATGAGCAATATCGATACCAATATTAATGAAAGTTTAAGATTATTCAATTTAGTCTTTGATTGACGATCATATTAAAAAATGATTTCAAAGTATACTAAATTGCATGATTTGACTACTGATGTTCATATTTAAAACTATGATGATAATTTACTCTTGAAGTTATAATTTGATTAGCTAATTATTCGATATTGAAATTTTAATTCTAATTAGTTTGTGTAATATTATGGATTAGAATCTCGACCATACCAAGTTGAAGATAAATACATGACTTATTCAAACCTAAACAAGTAGTTCACAGTTACCGTAGAAATCACCATAAATTGTAAGACCACCTCCAAATTATCAAGAATCTGACACTTTAACTGATAAACTTTTCCTTCTGAATTATACGAGCACCAAGGAAGCTTTCTGGGTAAACTATACCATTGGTCACTTTATTATAGATTTAGTAACAAACATGTTACTTTTCTTTCAAAAATTACAAACATGTCACTTAATTAAAATATTATTACAAAGACGTATGTCAATAAAATTGAAGTGGATGTCTAATGTAGTCTAACATAATAATATTTTTAATCCTCAAAACTTCTACATTCTATCAATTTTGTCATAATTCGAAATAATTCAAAAAAAATACAACTCTTCGTATTTATTTATTTTTATCAATTTTATCTCTTTTGAATAATTGACCATTCAACAAATATTTAGTGAGTGAAAAAATTACTTTTTAATATTGTGTCACGGAAATAAATAAATTTATTAACAAATAAAGATTGAACCCAAATAACTTGGAATCTTGTTACTTTCAGAAAAATCAAACTTCTTGATGTATTATTTTAAAGATGTTTAGTTTGGTAATCTTGTTTAACACAGTGAGATGGATAATTTGGTTTAAATAAAATTGAAATGCGAACATGGCACTAAATTTCCACTCATACTGAATAACTTTAATCTAATTTTTTTCGTGTCTCATTTCTTTTGTTGCTTGCAATATTTGTATACTGGATCAATCCAAAACGAGTATTCCTACAAAACCTTCTTGCCAACCAATCAATTAAAATCAAATAATTAAAATAATATATTAAATAATTTTATAAAAGTATCAAGCCATGTCATTGCCACTAATTCAGAAATGCGTTCGATAATCGAATTGTTTAATTAGTTGACTATTATGATATTTATTTTATAAAAAAAACAGTTGACCTAAATAATTGTCAACTTGTGTTGAAGTAATAAAAGTAATGGGTGAGGCAACAAAGCACCAGAGGTTGATACGATTTGAGGTTAGTTGGTTCTTCTAAAATTTGTTCACTTAGGGTTCCTTTGAAAGCAACCTCAATTATTGTAAATGACCCGAAATGACCCGATTCCCAAGCTAATCCTAACCCATGCGCAACGCTAATGTTAAATCGACGTGACATTTAATTTATTCAATTAAATTAAATAAAGATAATGATTTTAATGATAAAATATTATTTTTTTATTTTAAATTTAAATAGTTATGTTTATGAAATATATGTGTGAATTATTTATTAATTAAAAATATTCATAACATATATTATCTTAAAATCATCTCGTATCAACAAAAATCAAAATCTATACGATGGAGGCACATTTGCCGAATCGAAGTGTGTGAGCAATAAAATGTGCACTTTAATTGAAGAGCGAAAGCTTTGTTTGTGGACAAGATTTGGAATTAATGACAATACTTTCAACGGACTTTATGACTCGTGTCTTCTTTTAGTTTGGGCGTTAAAAATCCAGAATATGTTTGGCCACTATAATACTAATTGAAATGATTGATGACGTAAACAATGATGTTTTATGCGTTTATTTTATTTATTACTTTTAATCAGATTATTGTTTATTAAAATTTATTATCATAAAAAGATGACAGTTCTCAAATCCGACCAAATGATAATTTATTTTTATTTACTTAAATTTAATAAAACTTATAAATGGTTTAAATTATTTAAATAATTTATAATTTATTTTTTATTTTTAAATCCCATTAATTAACCCTTGGTTTATTAATGTTATTATCCTTATAATAATTAAGGTGGTTTAAAAAACGAACAGAGTGAACTCTGTTATAAAAGAATTGTCTTTATTCTTTGAGATCTCGAGTTTGAGCACAAAAAAATATCAGGATATGAGTAGGGGTGTTCAAAATCGGGTACCCGAAGTACTGGCTATCCGATTCTTCGGATAGTATATCGACCTGTGACTCGACCCGTTAAGTCCAGGTACATGTATTTTTGGATCACGGGTACCCGATTCATATATATATATATATATATATATATATATATATATATATATATATTTAAATAACACAGGATATACATAAAATTTTAAAAGTTCATAATATACAATTCATACACAAAAATTAATGATTTAAAGTTAGTTTTAAGGAGAGATATTTAGATATATATATATATATATATATTAAAGTTTATTTCTAAAAGAAAATATTAAAAATATTAAAATTGATAGTGATTTTTCTTTTGAATCCCATATTGAAAATTAATAATTTTTTTTTTGAAAATTGCAAAACTTAAAAGTACATAATATAAACCCAAGAAAAATTTAGGGATTTAAATTTAATTTTAAGATAAAAAATATTAAGGAACATGAAAGGAAAATATAATTTAAACTATATATATTAAAACTATTGGGTCAAATCGGGTACTCGGTTATAAAAAATTCGACCCAAACCCAGCCCAACTACCTGAAAAAATCACGGGTCATGTAACTTTTTTAGAGAATTACCCCATTTTTTTAAGTTTTGGTCGGTAGGGACGGGTCGGGTCAACCGGATCTGGTATTTTTGAACACCTCTAGGTGTGAGCGTTCAATGTAGAATAGTTAATAATTATCTTTAAACAAATCGTACCTTTTGCATTTATCCCAGATTAATTCAAAAAAAAAGTGTGGTTTAAGAGTTTTAATATTTTGAGTATTTTTAAAAATACAAATATAAAGATAAAGTTCACAAATTATCCCTCAACTATAGGATGTTGTTTTGTTTATTTCATTAGCTATTAAAAGTTACAAAATGGTCCATCGATAATATGACAATTCTTTATTGAGTTTCCGACTATCAAAAGTTACGAAATGACCATCCGACTATTCATATAATTCAAACTCTTATTTTTCTATTAAGAAACTGACGATTGTTTAAGTTAGATGGTATACTGATTGAGATATGATAATCGTACAATTTTCTATTAGACGTTTGAACTTAAAAAATTATAGTAGAAATATAAGAGAGGTAAGAAATTAGATCAAGAAAATATCATCCACCTCCATGTTCAAAACCTGTGAGACCGGATTCTAATTTACGAGATCCATTGGCTATTGGGGTTCATATCTTTTCCCGTTGTGGAATAAAATTCTTGCCTCTTACCGAGTTGTCTGCAAAACAGAGCAAAATTTCAGGGTTTCGAACCAAGTGAAGTCCAGAAAATTAAAGCCAATACTAGCTGTTCAACTTACCATACTAGCTGTTCAAGTGTAAGCAGCTGATTATCAGTATAAAACAACCTTAACACGTTACAATATACATTGTTACCCAAATACCCAATGTAAGAAGTAAAAGTAATTACCTTTCAAGCAAAATCAGAAAGAGCAAGCTATGAGCACATCAACAACTCTGGGACTTCAACTTTGAGGCACCTCTAATGGTACACCTCTCGTAAATGGTGGAGACACCGACGAAAATTTGATTTAAACTACAACGAAATCAGCATTGTAAGATGCAGATGATCAAATCCTGCATGTCTAATAGCAACTTTTCTTAATCTATTTCCAAAACCCAAAATCTTAACGTTGCTTATATTTAACCATCACACAGCTTTACAGAATCTAGTTGGCCTGCAACTTGAGGTATGCAATTCGAGCAGCATCACTTTTTTGTCTAACATCCTCGTACATCTTGACCGAGGCCTCGCAGAATTTGTTTAGTCTATCAAGAACCCGAGTCAAACTCGCCTGTATGCAGCTCAAGGTGGAAGATGCATCATCGGTTGTATCGCCATCTGTAATCGCATGAAGACCGTCTTTGCTCTCCGATTCTCCATTGTTTGCATCAACTAATTTGTGTTCCTTCTGTAGTTTGTCTACTTGGTCCATTAAATGAAAAATATCCGACATGAAGGCTTTGATGGCAACGCTAAGTTCCTCAGCTGGCAAGGCTTTTAACCCAGCTGACCATTCACGACATAGTACGAATATTGGTGGCCCGTATCCCAGATATCGATGAGGTGAGAATGGATATCGATTTTTCGAGCGTTCCTGCGGTTCTATGATGCAATTTTGCAGCCAGCCATTCAAAGCTTCCAAATAAGATGCATGACTATTGACCCAGTCAATAAAGCTAACACCAAACCATTCGAATTCTTGCCGAAGCTGAGCCATAATCTGCCTCCGCGCATCTACCTGTGCCGCATCCGTTGAGTTCCTTGAATGGTATGCCAGTGAGATGATGATATATTGTGAATGATGGCATTCTAGCATTGCCTTCCACATTCTGAGCAATCTGCAAAGACAAGCATGAGTTTAGTCCAGACATGAATGCCACTGTTTCTGTAAACTCTAGATTTTCAAGTGCATATGGGAGTGAACTTTAAGTCATTAAAAAACTTATGACTTAAAGGAGCTTACCCCTCAGTTAACTCTACAAGCTGTGGCTGCAGCTCTTCATCTCTCATTTTTTCAATTCTCTTTGATATGTTATTAACAGAATGAAGTGCCACTCTAATTCGGGAGTGTAGATCCTTTACTACTGCCCGTGTTTTGTCGATCACTCGGGTGCTAAGACCCTTAGCAAACTGGTGTCTGAGCTGATCACACTTCTGATCGTACTCCTTCCTGATAGATTCACTAGACTAACGGGTGCAAAAAAGCTAACAAGTCAGAGTTTTGAAGGACAATACTATTTATTAGATGACTTTAAAAGCAAGCAACTAGCAATGGTAGATATTGACAACACTTTGGTGATAATCGGAACACTTCTTTTTAAGTGATTTCGGCAAGTACCTTCACTTCATCATGGAGTTTTCTTTCCCATGCATACAGTCTTTCCAAGGTGGACAAATGACTACCGGCAATCATGCAGAACTCTTCAATAAAATCACTTGCACTGTCATCAGCATCACCCGTGGCTAGTGGGTTCCTCGATGAAGAAGACCCCAAAGATGTTGATCTCTTCCAGTGGATGATTTTACTTACATGTTGCATTGGCTCTGCAATATATTATGGCGTGAGAAAAGAACGATACAATTCATAAGTGGTAAAGTAAAAAGAGTAAAAAGGCCACTAAGTTGAAAAAGACTAACCTTCAATTGCCTGTATGAAATAGAAACTCTTACCATAACTAACATCAGAAAACTAATACCATAATCAGTACATACAGAAGCAAGAGCTTACCATGAGAAACCAAAGCAGTCTTCCCGCGACAGCAACCAGGTCGCCAAGCTATCAGCAACATCGAGGATCCGCCTACGACAAAAGATTTTATTGTAAGATGTTAGCTTACGAGGAATCGGTAGTATATGACTATATGCAGCACTAGCATTGAATTGGCAATAAAAGAGCTCGAATCTAAAATTTAAAGTTCAATAAGAAGTAAAATGTTGCTCATGAACAGAAAGGATTACCTTCAGCTTCAGAGTATCCAACCTTGATTTTGTTAGAATCAACCATCCGGGACACTTGTCTGCCTGCTTCTGAGGCTCGGAAGAATCGATGTTCAATATATTTTATGCTTGAAAGAAAATCCTTGGCTCTATGGGTTACAAACTCAGAAGGATCTTCTCTTTCTGCTGATAAATCTTTCTCCCCAATAGCATTTCCCCTTGTTGAACTTGATTGTTCAAGAGCACATTGGCTCTCCAAAGTTTCAGCTGGACCATTAACATTATGTTCTGCGCCTAGCTGCCCCACTTCCTTGGCATTGGTCTGCCTAGTACCACCACCATGATCAATCCCTCTTAAATCCTCAAAATCCACACCAACTGCATTATTTCCAACAAATCTAAAGCCCTCACAATCATCAATGGGGTCAAAGAAATCCCAAGAGCCTGACGCAAAAGGAGGAACTGGTGGCGGCGGCATTGGCAATGAATCATCCTCCAAAGAAGTACCATTAGCAGGATTCAACTCAACAGCCACAGCAGCACTATTCGCTGCTCTCATGTAACTCAAATTCGTGGTGACCGGAGAAATGGGACTTCCATTTTCCAATGGTGAATAAGAAACATCGGCTCCTAAATGAGAAGGAGATAATGGATAGGAGGAGTGTGATGGGGTTCTCTCAAAATCAGTGGCCGATGTTATTAGTGAACACTCTATCAACATCTCAGATTCAGCAGATCTTCTTAAAGCTATACCAATGTTTCTAAGAGATTGAACATAAGAAACATGAGCGGCCGCAAGAGCATACCTCGAATCAATAGCTAGCTTTATGAATCTCCTTCTCTCTTTACATAGACGCAAGGCTTCATTTTTACCAGCTTTGGAGTTCCCACTACCCATTTTCCCTTCACTCAGAACAAAACGATCTCCCTCATGAAATTAATCCAATCTTTCTACTCACAAAAGGATAAGAAAAAGATTACCAACTTTGGGTAAGCTTAAGGAAGTCATTTTAGTAAAGAAACCCCTTTTCGGGGGGGGGGTGTAAAACACTGTCAAACCAAAGAAAACAGAGGAAAATAGAGCGAGCTTTTTTCTCAAGAACAAAAGGGAAATCAGTTGGAAGAAATATTTTATAATGACGATGGTCGATGGAGACAACACAGATAAATTTATTGGACTTAGTAGAAGGAAAATATCAAAGGAAAAACAGAGTAGTAGTTTTCAACTAAGACAGACAGACAGACATACGAAAGCAGAAACCTCCTAGAAACAATGCAGAAGAAAAGAGTGGTCGGGGTGTAATAAAATCAGGCACTTTAATGGATGGAAGCTAAGAGGAAACCAATGGGAATTCCAAGCTCGAACTTTTTGAAAGAAAAAAAACTTGAAGCAATTTGCAGAGATTGCCCAGTCATGAAATTGAAAACTTTTGCAGAGATTGTGGAGAAGGAAATGAAAGGTGAATGAAGTGACATAAACACACACACACAAAAGTCAGAAAAGTGGAATCTAAGATTAGTGGATACACAGAGGAGGAGGTAGCCTCGTTTTGTGTTTTTATTTCTTTTCATTTCAGTTAAATACTAATTCTGTTCAGACTGTGAAATCAATCAGGGTTTAGTTAATCCACCAGATATTGGTTAATAATTATCTCATTATTATTTTTAATTAACTTTTTAATAGCGTGAGGTGATTGTAAATAGTACTATATATTTATCATATTATTTAATTGTTAATATTCTATTGATATAATTATTCGATTTCAAAATTTTAATATAAAATAATATTCATTTTAATAATTGATGTCACTCAATAAATTTATTTTAAGGGTAAATTATGAATTTAGTACATAAATTATTGATTTTGATCCGTATTAGTATCTAAACTATCATTTTTTTTCAAAAGCATACCTAACGTTTAATTTTTGTTTCATTTTAAGACACTGCCGTTAAAAAATAATAGATGAGCTTACTGGTCGTTGGTCGTCATATATGTAGGTCGGTAAAGCCCAAATTTTCCAGTCCATACTTTTTCGACCCCTTGAACGTGAGTTGTCTTCTGTTTTACTGGAAAACGCTTCAATCTCTCCAAATCGACGATGGACTCTTCAATTTCTTCATCCTTTGATCTCTGCATCAACTGTCCGATGAGCTTAAAACTAGACTATGTTGGTCCACTCATTATTCTCTCGTAGTCTACTGTTCAGATTGGTCGTCTATCTATCAGAGCTATGTGTCGTCAACACGTCCGTTAAGTTTTTAACAGCAGATACTAAAATGAAACAAAAACTAAATGTTATGTACAATTTTAAAAAAATGAAAGTTTAGATACTATAACGGACCAAAATTATAGTATAGGTACTAAATACATAATTTATCCTTATTTTTACTAATTGTTTATTTAAAAAGAAAAATATTTTAAATATTTTATTTTTAAATAAATTGTTAATATAAAGTTGTCATCATTTTTCTTAACGTATGATAAACTACTTTATATTTAGATATATATATTTTTAAAATATATTTGAAATGAAATGTTTTTACTTTATAGAAAAAAATGGGTGAGAAATTTTAATGGTTACATTGTTAAGAATAGAAGTAAAATGAAAAAAAAATATAAAAGAATATATATATATATATATATATATATATATATATATATATATATATGACTTTTATTTTAGAAAAATGTATACTACATATAAAATATATATACTTACATACCCATAAATACAATTGATTTGACATAATTAAAAAAACTGAGTTAATGCGTTAAATTGAGGTAGTTTGTTTATTTTCTTTTTACCGAAGTTAATTTGGGTTTTCCAGTAGGGTCGGAATAGGCCAGGCCGGTCCACAGGAGCCTACGGCCTGGCCTATATAAAGTCTGGGCTGACCTATTTAATAAAAAGGCCATTGAAAGTCTATTAAATTAAATAGGCCATGCTTAGGCTTATTAAAAAGCCTTATAGGCCGGCCTATTTAAAGTGACTACTTTGTAAAATACGCTAAATTAGAGTGACTTAATAGGGACTTTACTCTAAAATTACTGACTAGATTGGAAATATTAAATGTTTATTGTGAAACATGCTTTTAAACAGGTCAGACCGAGCCCAAATAAAAGCCTTTGACAGTCTACAGGCCAGGCTCAGGCCTACAAATATCACCGTAGGCCAGGCTCAGACCTATTAAGCATGGCCTGGCCTGACCTATTCCACCCCTATTTTCCAGTATGATGTCGGGTGTTTTTACCAAAAAAAAATCTGACCATTAAATAATTATCTGTCAGGCACTTATCGTCTTAATTTTACTGATCTAACACCTTTTGTGACAACGTGGTAAATAAGTGTGAATTATCATCTGCGTCTTCTTAGGGTTTGTTCGAGATGGTGTCACGTAGGGTAAAGTTCGGATCACCATCCACATCTTTCTGGGGTTCTGACACTCAGCGAAGGCACGGATTGTGAATTACCCCCAATCGTCAGCCTAAATTACCCCATCCCCCTCCCCTATAAATACTCCTCATAAAGCCTTCAAATCACACCAAAACAAAAATAATATCTTCTTATCACTCATTCGAACAAAGTTCAAGTAGGTTATGTTATTATTCATAGAAGGTAAAATTATTGTTATTATATTATAATCATTAAATAATTAATTGTTTTATTATATTTTACTGTCTAATTTTTTTTTATGTTTTTCAGTTATAAAATGAATTACATATTGCTGCATTTAGATGATAATCATATCGCGAGTCATTTTGCTGATACGGTAACAATTTATTTAATTTGTATTAGTTTTATTATTGTGTTATGTTAATTATTAAGAATATTATTTATTTTTTAGTATTAGTTTATATTTTAATTTGTATACTATTTATTTAATTAAGGGAATGACTGTATATTAGACTCATTTATTCGTAAATGTTAAGTTAGAGATACCAAATCGTGTATGGTTGTATTTAATGGAGGCTGGATTCGGTTACATAGCTAGATATGAAGGACCTTGTAACCTTGAAAGCAATCTTATTTATGCACTAGTCGAAAGGTGGAGACCGGAGACACACAAGTTCCATCTTCTGTGTGGGAAGTGTACGATTACGCTGGAGGATATTTCCTTACATTGGGGGCTACTAGTAGATGGTGATGTTATTTCGGGTGTGGCGGATGGTGATTATCATTCGTTGTACGATAAGTATCTTGGAGGTATCCCTCCTAATTTCAACGGTGGTCAAATACTGTTATCATGGTTGGTGACATATGTTGAACATTTGAGTGAAGACTGTTCCGAGGAACATGCTAAAAGAGTTGTTCGGGCTTGCATATTACGACTGATAGGAGAGATCTTGATGCTCGATAAAGGACGTTGAACATACTTTTCAGTGGTGGATCGGTCGACTCTAGAGTGAACAAAATTACGAATGTTATAATTCTTAATAGCAATCATTGTTTTTTCTTTCAATGAAAACTCCATTTCGATATATAACTCACAATCATTGACTGATGAGTTAAATCCATAATCATCAACATTAGGCATATCCGCAAATTATGGCTCGTACATTGCACTATAGTCATCTTCATATATGTGTGTTGGAGGTTCGGTGTGTATCGTAGTTATTGGAACTTCATCTACATCATCATCATCGGAGTTCATATTGAATAGCAGTGACTCTAGCTCAACAAATAGTCCACTCTCAGCATCATCTGCACCTAGCTCACGAAGAGGTTTTTCTAGTAGAGATGAGGGTTCCTCTGCGATGTTGATATTTAGTCAAATAAGCTGGTAGTTGAATGCATTCCCCTTGAACTTGAAGGCATCGTGTCATACGAGTTTTGGACTGAGTGTTGTGTCGCAGACATCTCGACATTGAAGTTGAAGAAGTTCATAGTTGAATGCCTCCCCTTGGAACTTGAAGGCATCGTGTCAAATGAGTACTGAACAGATTGTTGTGTCAATGACATTCCCATATTCATGTAAAAAAATTGGCAGATAAATGTCTTCCCCTTGAACTGGAAGCGACGTTGCCATACGGATTGTTCGTGGAGCCACTACGATAGACATCGTAACAAATTGTTGATGAATGTCTCCTCATTGAACTTGATGGGATGTTACCATGATGTGGATTTCCCATTATGACGTTAAAATCATTACACATTACTGTAGTTGGGCTGTCAACTTGATCAATTTGTTGAGACAGCCCATAGTAGGAGCATAATGACATACCACAAACCACATACATTTCAACAAATGTCGCATACATCTGTGTATCGACATCTGAATTTTGATTTTAAGAATCAACCATCATAGCAACATCGTCATCGTTGGAGAGTTCAAACGTTGTATAAGTTAATGGAAATATTGTTGTTAGAAATCTATACTGAAGTGAGGACAGTCTCTAGTACTTCCAACATGAACATTCCTTGAAATTTTAGTGATTAGCTCCTCAAGAGTGATGTTTCTCTTGAATGATATTCTGACAGAATGATTTGATGCGAAAACAATGTTTGTTTCATCTTCCCTAATTTCTCCATCATAGTAAACAATAGCTGAATTACGCCTCATTTTTAAAGTTTGAAAGATTGAGAATCTTATATATGCAAAAACAATAGATTAAATACGCCTATTTAAATAAATAATATTTGAACTTAAAAATAAACTAATGCTAAAACATTTAAAAAATTTCATAGTAAATTTAATAACACAATTTAACATTGTTACCGTCTCGTGAAAATAACTCGAGATTTGATCTCGCTTTCCATTTTATACATGCACTAAATAAAACAAAATCATTAGTACAAAAAAATTAATCCAATAATTAAATTTAAAATGACAATAATATAATAAAAATAATTTTATCTTCTAAGAACTATATCAAAATTTACTTAACTTAATAGAGAGAAATTATAAAATGAAGAATATAAAATTAAATTTTGGTGTGGTTTTATGTTTATTAACGATGTTATTTATAAGGAGAGGGGTGATTGATTCGCAGGGTTTAGATAATGATGGAGTATCCAATAATTCAATGAAATAATGGAATGCGTTGATAATGATATGCGTTTTCATCGCATGTCAAAACCCCAAAATCTACACTTAATTCTTACATGATGCTAACTCGAACGAACTCGAAGAAGGTGCAGATAATGATCTGCTCATTTTTGTCACACTATCAAAAAGTATATTAATTCAATAAAATTGGGTCGATTAGTACCTTACATGTAATAAATAGTTGAATAATTTTTTTTTTGGTAAAATCTTCATGATGTCTTGTAGTGTTGCAACAAAACATCTGTGACAACATTGAGAAGTGCGTAGAGTGACAGATTTGTCCTTTCATGTTTCCCGAGGAACCGCTTTAACGGCTCCTTAAAATCCGGGTTTTAGGTACTGTATTAGCCATTTTTTTTCACCTCCTATGCAATGTATTACCATATTACAAGTGAAGTGATTTTAGGTACAATTATAGATTTTTTTTAAAAAAAACGTCTTATCTAATGTGTATACCACAAAATTTTAAAGGTAATTTTATTATGGTATTTCGTTGGAAAAAATATATATTAACAGAAAATAAAAAATTTGAGAAAATAATTAAAAAATTCAACTATTTAAAAAGGATTAATATTTTAAAAAAAAGTATAAAGGGTGGATTGGTGGCTTTCAAAAACTTTGGGGACATGCCCCCGGTCTGCACTATGTTTCTCGCCATTGTATACTACGGTTCTTTAATTAAATATCTATCTTTTGTTTTCAAGGAAACTATCATATTTTTATTGTTAAACTCATTTTGGTGTTGGTGTCGCGACTTAATTAGGTATGAATTTTGTCAATGACGAATAAACTTGGATGATTGTTGTCAATGAATGGAAACTATCATATAAGTATGAGTTCATGCTTATTTCAAATAGCACTCAAGCTTATGAAGGTTAAAGAATTCACAAACTTGTTAACAAAAATGCATTCAATCTGTGATGCCACAACAAAGTTATAGATGCTCATTGCATGTTTGAATACATTTTTGTGCTTGACGATAAATCAATTGATGAATTACATGCTAAACTACAAGATATAACTAATCAAGCTTATACACTTCGCGAGGTGTACTCCATTTCCAAATTTGTAAGAAAATATATATGGTTTTTGCCAGAAAGGTATGGGATTAAGCTGGCCATTATCGAGGAGGATTAATATTTGCATGTTATGATAATAGATGAGTTTATTAGATATTAATAAGTCTCTCAACAAATAAAATCATTTGATTCGTGATATATTAGTTAAGTTTATTTAAATTTATTTAAACATGTAATTTTATAAAGAGAAAATAACCTCAGTGACCGAAAATGCCTTATAATATACGATTTTAACCAACTTTTTTTGGATTTACGAAAATGACCAACAAATTCGCAACGCGATCTCAAATTCGCAACGCAAACTCCTATTTCGCAACCCAGTTTCCAAATTCGCAACGCAAATTTAATTTCGCAACAGGTTTTAGTTTCGCAACACAAATGTTTTGGGTATATAACTACGCAGCAGCAGCAACTCATAACCTAAATCCCTAAATCGCAACTCATTCCATCTCCATCTATCACTCTCTCCGACATCCGTTCCTATATCCAACGACATCCTTCCCCATCTCTAATTTTTTTTAAATAATTTTATTCCTATACAATTTTTCAATGATTTCTCTCCCAAATTATCAACTATCAACTTAATAAAGGTATGTTTTTCTCTAACTTAGTGTTGATATCTAGTTTATAGCTCGTTTGTTTAGTAAATTAATTTACAATTTGTAGAATGAAATCATCTAATGTTGATCATGTTTGGATAGATTTGTGTTTTGGAGGGTCATGGGAGAATGTTCATGGTGTTTTACAATATTGTCTTTACCCATGAATCTTCAATTAAAACTGTCATTAAAAAAGTTAACTTATGAAACTCTAATGTTACGTGTTGCAAAGAAATTGAATTTAGAGTCTCTAAGTGGATTTAGGCTATCTTATCAGAGAAAAGGTAAAGTTTATTTGTTAATCGACAATGAAGATGTTGAACGATTCATTGCTTACTGTTTCGCAAGAAGATGATGTTATATTGTATGTTGTTGAACCTAGAAGTAGTGAAGTTGGGTCAATAGCGGGTAGTAATCAACTAAGTTCTTCAACCCCAATTTATGGTGCTCACAATGTACAACGTTGTTATCAACCTCAAAATTTAATGTTTCCACCACAATTTCATCACCAAGAAAATTTTGTTTCACCACATTTCCAATACCAAACACAATCTCAAAACCCACAACCTTTTCCTAATCTAAATCCCAATCAACTTTCAGCACCAAATTCCAGTTTTCGTATTGACCAGTTAGATGATTATAAGCCAACATAAAAAATTGTGAGTACTAGTCAGTATTCAAAATTTGATCTTGGTCAATACCCGACTTTGATCTTGGTCAATACTCGGATTTTGATGATGTTTCAGAAGAAGAAACAGACCCTGCGTGTAATGATTTTGATATTGGTAAATACCCGAATTTTGATGATTAAACAACCGCTGCCGAGGAAGATGTTGTTGATGATAATGAAGAGGAAGTTACGATTGTGAATGAACATGTTGAACATCCATTCTATAATTCATATAACCCTGAAGAAGAAAAAAAAGAAGAAAAAGTCCCTGAAGAAAAGAAAAAGAAGAAAATGCCACGGGAGTATAACTAGAATATGCCAGAATTACTTCAGATACCTGAAGAAGAGTTGGTAAAGATAGCAGTTGATTGTTACACAAAAGTTATTCGTATCAAGAAAGATGATTGTTTTGATACAAATGAAGACTTGAAGATAGCTTTGTATACGAAATGTGTGGAAGATGGCTATAAACTAAAAGTTAACAAATCAAGCAAAGATCGTTTCGAAACAAAGTATGATTGACAAAAATTGTACGTGGCGTATGATTGCAAAGAGGATAAAAGATTATGAAATGTTTCAAGTTAGGACTTTTATTGATAAACATACATGTTCAAGAACCCAAGTTTTTCCTCACCACAGACAGGCAAACAAAAGGTGTTGGGTGGTTTTCTGGCTGAGTTAATGTTTATGAATGACAGAGTATATCGGGGACATAAAATTATGACTGACATGAATGCTCGGTTCAAGATTAGTATCTCATATTCTCAAGCTTGGAGAACCAAATGTTATGCCTTGGATTTTTGAGAGGGTCTCCAGAAGCATCGTTTGCCCAACTGCTGACTTATTGTCACAATTTAAAGCTGAAAAATCCTGGGTCGGTAACTCATATCAAAACAGATAGAGATGGACGTTTTGAGTTGCTGTTTATCGCCATTAGTGTTGTGGTTAGTAAATCAATATAATTTTGTTGACT